ATGTTCCGTCTGTAGGCCGCCGCGTTCAGTTTGAACCGGATGGGGTAGCTCCCTTTCCCTTCCACTGCTCCTGATCGCTCGGTCGGGAAGTTGGCTCCGGGTACGCACGTTTGCCGTTGCTGTTTCTGACGGGGTCGTTGGCGGCTAGCATCTCATCGATAGCCTCGCCGGTTGCCTTCGGGTCCGCAGCGGCAGCTTCCTGATCCGCAGAAGAAGGACCGCCAGCACTAGCCTGTGAGGCCTGTGAGGCGTCGGCAGGTCCCGCGCTTGAACCCTCCGACATCGTAGCCGCGCGTTGCGTGTGGTCGAGCCCGCAGCTCCGTCCCGGGCATTTTCCCGATTTTCCGCCGGTATTTCTCCGCCACGGAACTGTTGTGGTGGCAATTCCCCGAGACTCGTTTGTGTGTGCAGCTACTAGCTTGTCTGTTGGTTGTGTTGTGATCGTGTTGCAGCAATACCATACACGCGAAGTGCTGCTATCCCCTGTGGTTCTCAATGTTAGGATCGCACATATCGGGGTCTTGGCACAGGGGTGTGCGTTCGAAAGTCGCCGTACCAGCCGCTTTGGATTGAAACAGCACCGCACATATCGGGGTCTTCGCACAGGGGTGTGCGTTGTTTCTTAGAACCGAAATGTTTACTGCATTTCCGCACCCAGGTATCGCGAACTTGGCACAAATCGGGATCTTCGCACACCTGTGCGAAAAAAGTCTGAAGTTCGGAACATTTAAAAAAGCGACCGCACAGCTAGTAGTGCGCCAAGACCCCGATGATTACGGTACACTCAGCTCCACGCCAACGCGGCGTGGACACGAGGCAACCGACGCAAGAATCAGTTGATGGGGGAAGTAGAGGCCCAAGCAACCAAGAGATCACAACAGCTAGAGGGTCAACACATGACACTCCCACTCATGGAATCCACTGCTGTGCTGCTACAGCAGTGTACACCTACAGCTGTATGCTCTTAGTATTGCCTCCGGCCTCTCTTTGTGNATGCCTGGTCGGCGGGAACCCGGCACGGAACCCTCCGGCGTTGTAGGCGGGTGTGGGAAGCGTTCCCCGTTCTCCTTTTATTTTATTTTGATCGGTCTCCTCGACGCTCTTTCTCGTTTGGTGCGGTAGCTGGTCTTTCTTTCTATCATTTTGTTTCTCTTCCGAGTGGTTTTTGTACCCTTTTTTTTTCTGTTTCTTCGTGGGGTCGTGTATGCCGTGTTTTGAGACCACGGGCTCCCAATCTTTCTTTTATAGAGCTAATGTGAGAAACAACAACAACAACCTACAGCAGTTCTTTCTGACTCTGTACAGCAGTACCGAGAGCCCGCGGGTGCCAGGTCTATGTAGGATACGTAGCATGGACCACGGTGTACAATATTTCTAGAGCAGTGTATGCGCACGGAAACACATATCCAAGACTAACTGCACCCCCACTGCCCTTCCTTCTCACCTCGGAGGACGCCGTGCGAACACCAGACGCCGCTCTAGGCGGTGACTCTACCACCTGACACAGCGACATTTGCGACCTCAGATTCATGAGCAATGCTTCACAGCAGAACGAGAGGTAGAGTAGAAGAAGAAACGTCGTAGTACCCACTCGTGCGAGACCCCCATCACAACTAGGGCGGAGGCGTACGGCGGTCTCTCGTTGTGGCCTATGGGCATCGTGAAAAAGCCTTGATGGCTCCATGGACTCGCATACGTAAGTGGGGTGGGTTTGGCCTCGCCCGCAACTGCTACTTGCTACTTGAGTTAATTACGCCGCGTTTTTTCTCCAAACAGCAAACAGCCCGAAGCGGCTGATGAGCAGCATACTGCTGTATCAATCTTTCCGATCCTACACGCGCCCGCCAAGCGCATTCTCCGACCAACTCACACACGCGTTTCTAGACAAGTAGAGAGCTGGTGAGGAGATAATGAGAACGGGTGGAATAGCTCGGTTGTTGGCTGCGTGGCTGCCGGCGGTGCTGATGGGTGAGTGCATGTGGGGTACACCGCCGTTTACGAAGTAGCTGCAGCCGGTGCGGGGCAGAGAGGCACTGCGCCCGCGCTTCCGTCATCTTGTTTGGTACACACTCGAGTGGGGAGGTCGTCACGCATCCCGCCTTTTACTATGGCACAATAGTAACAGCCTTACTGCGGTGACTAGGCAGCGATCGTAGTGCCTTTAGCAGATGTTGCGTTAATAGTAAACGCTGTAGACTAGTAGTCTATGTGACACGTGTGGACTGCTGCTGGCTGCTGTGTAGCTGCGGAGAGTTACAATACATTTCTGTACAAGGTTGTACCTTATATCTGTCGACAGCATACAACAGGAGCTGCAGACTCAGTGAAAGTCGCGACCCCTGAAACGGATATGCCTTGCGAAGAAGCGAGAAGACGCTCTGATACTGCTGGTTGACACACATGAGAGCGGATGGTATGCATTCTGATACAGCGACACTACTGGAGAGCATATGCCCGCGGGCCATCATATTGCAACCCACATCATTTTTCACCCGCCTGCAAGTAATTCAGCTGCTGGTATAGTTGTTGTTGTTGTTGTCTTCACATTAAAAACCATCCCGGTCTCTCTATCCAGTACCTCCTTCTGTCTCAATCTCTCCGTACTAATCCATCACTTGACTCGGCCAATTTCCGTGGTCACAGGCTAACGTACCTAGAAAAGGTATACCAAAATAAAATGGACCCCAAGGGTCAGCAGA